ACGTTTTTTGATTTCCTGGCTACTGGTGCCAAGAGTGTTGACCGTGGAGCCGAGCAAACTGAAGCTGTGAACAATCTCAATCTCTTCGCCATCCAAGTGTGATATATTCACTTACTGTTTGTGTTGGTGTATTTGATTATGTATGTATATTATGCATGCATATTGGTAGTATGTACATATATTGTGAGGCACAGTGGAGGTTCAGTGGTAGAATTCTCAACTTTCAGTTGAGACCTGGCTTTGATTCTGGGTCAATGTAACTCTGTACAATGACCATCCATCTCTCAGGAGAGGCTTGGCTGTAGCTATAATGGTGAACAGCTTTCAGTGAAGCTTTAAGACTAAGACTAAAGGCCTGGTGATCTACTTATGAAAAAAAAAATAACTACTCATTAAAACCATAGGAAACACAAAGGTCTAACACAATAAATTATGCATCCAGGCAGGCAGCTAACAACAACAAATACATGAACATACATTGTCTATATATGTATCTCTATCTGTCTATAAATATCTGCTACATCTATTTATATTTGTATTTGCTATTGTCAGTTGCCTGCCTGGATAAAAAGTTGTGCTGCCAAAACAAAGGCACACGATTCAAACCTACCAACAGCTCCAGGAGATAAGTGGGAAATCTACTGTGTGATTTACTATCTCTGACACCTGCTGGAGGTCAGCGGTGGGTCAGTTCTGACTTGATGGTACATGATAATATATATTTTATAACAATATATACATATGAAGTGTATATGTGTTTGTGTGGTAAGGAGTTTTACTGCCAACCCAAAGGTAATTAATTAAAATCCACCAGCTGCTCTATGGGAGAAAGATGGGCAGTCTCCCCACATGTGGTTTAAAGCCTATGGAAACTTCTAGAGGGTCAGCTGTAAGTCAGTCAATGAACACCACCACCACAATATTTTTTTCTTATATCTTTTTCATCTTTCTCTTAGAAATTTCCATCTTTTGAGATGAGGTATAGAGAGGTGAAGACTAAAAAAAAAACTTATTCATATAAAATACTAAGACTTGAGGGGAAATGTATTTCATTATTAGATAAATTATATTGCTGTTGATAAAGGAAATAATGTTTGAACTACATCTTTGACTAAGAAAACTAATCCTTCTATATGTTCTATCTCTTTTTAGTAAGCAAAAAGTACACAAGCACAGCTTTCTCCATTTTCATATTTATTTTTTGATTGCTGTGAACGACTACCTCAAGAATTTTAAAGGATTGGATTTTAAAGCTTATGTACCACATAATGCAAGTTGTGTATAAAATAAGGGCTCAGGAGTACAATTTGTAAGCCAGGCGTAAGCATTAGCAAGGGGAGGTCTAAAGTCCTAATGGTGTTTTTGGAATTTGCAAGCTGAAGCGATGTCAGTTGAATTGGGCAATTTGCACTGACTGACCAGCCAGCCATGCGAAGAGAAGCTTAGTGTCCTGTGGAAGTGGAGGGAGCCTTAGTTTCAGGCAGCCAGGCCACGAGGACAGCTTCCAGGGGGATTGTCTAGATGAAATGTTCAAAATGAGCAGGTGAACAAAGTGAGATGGTGAAAACATGGCAAAACCTAAAAGGCGTGGTGAGAAAGAGAATAAATAATAGAATGAGCACTTTTAATTTTTGTGCCTGCTGAATGGCAATCACTTTGTGTATGTTTTCTTTGAAGCCTTTACATCATCCTGCAAGATGGATTTGGTAATGCTTTTTACAGATGAGTGTGAGATTCAGGTTGACAGCTCATGAGACACGGAGGAAAAAGAACAATAATTTGGAACAAGTCCTTTTTGATTCCAAATATCTGTCTTTTCTCTCAGCTTTCAAGGCTGAAGTTTGCTTACCATCAGCCGACTACACTGACAGGTACTAATTAGAGACCTCCTGGTTTCTGGAATGATTAAAACAGATTTTGCTGTAAAGAAAAAAATCCTAGAAGAGTTTAGGAGATAAGCAGAATATAATGCATTGTGTCCTGCAAATGACGTAAGAGCAATTCATTACAGGTAGCTAAAAGAGGGTTTCATTTTAGCCTGACCTGGAAAT